TGGAGTTCAGACGTGTGCTCTTCCTATCTTATATATATATATATATATATATAAATTCAAAACTTTGATTGTGCTTGATTCTAAATTTATGTTTTAATTTATGCAATGTATTAAATGTAATGCATTAAAAATTTTTATGCCTTTTCGAACGGTGTGCGCAGAAACGAACTGAAAAATGGAAGGCTACAGAGGTAGGAGCTATAATAGTCAGTCCCACGAGAGAATTGGCTACACAGATTAGTGAAATTTTAGGAGAATTCTTAAAGGAAATTCCATTATTGAAGCAAATACTACTGGTTGGTGGCGTGACACTTGAGAAAGATGCAGAAAAATTGAAGAAAGGAGCAAATATTATTGTTGCCACACCTGGTAGATTGAAGGATATCTTGTCTAATTCTAACAATTTGAGTCTATGTGTAAAGTCTTTGGTACATAGTTTATCCTTTTGTAACAGTCTCATTTATATGCGACAGAGTTTTTGAATGATTAACTAGGTATACTTTTATTTCTAGGAATTTCTTGTATTAGATGAGGCAGATAGATTATTAGACTTGGGATTCTCTGCGACTTTAGATAGTATTTTAAGCTATTTGCCACGTCTTAGAAGAACAGGATTGTTTTCTGCAACACAGACGAAAGAATTACAGCAATTGATTAGGGCAGGACTGAGAAATCCAGCATTGATCGCTGTGAAAGAAAAGTCTAATGTCTCCACGCCTGTAAATTTAAAAAACAGTTTTACAATCGTTCGTCCTGAGTACAAATTGCCAGTAATGATAGATTTTATACGCTCAATAGGATTTGAAACGAAGTATATGATATTTTTACCTACCTGCGCGTGCGTGGATTATTTCAGTCGAATTATACAGACGTAAGGGCATAGTTGAAAAATACTAAATATCAAACAAGGTTACGTGTGCGATTAGTCCAAATTCCATGCACCCAAGACTTTATTTTATGTCGTGTTTTTTTTTGTTTTGTTTTTTTCCAATCAAATCAATTTTCTCTAATTTATATTTTCTTACCCTATCAAAACTAATGGAGACCTAATTTAAGTAAAAAATTAGGCAAAATGTTTTATATATATATATATATATATGAGCAGTTGTATCATGTCTATATATACATGCATGCATATTTACAGATTGTTACCGTCGGTAAACGTACTTGCTCTACACGGTAAAATGAAAAACAAGAGATATAAAGTGTTTGATAAATTTCGATATACCCAAAATGGCATCTTAATATGCACAGATGTGATGGCTCGTGGAATCGATATATCGGAAATAGAATGGGTGTTGCAATATGACCCTCCCTCTACAGCTAGCAATTTCGTGCACAGGTAACGTAACCGGCATTACATTTTATAGAATATATATATATATATATATATATATATATATATATATATATAGATATTTTCAAGATTTATTCCCTAAAATGTTTTTTTTTTATTGTATAGATGTGGTAGGACCGCAAGAATTGGCAATGAAGGAAATGCATTGCTGTTTCTTCTAGAAACAGAGAGTGCATATGTAGATTTCATTAAAAGAAATCAAAAGGTTGAGCTGCGACAAATGGAAACAGAATTGAATAAAAATACTGTTGATGAATGCTTACAGTACATGAGGCAGATGCAACTGAAGGATCGACTTATGTTTGATAAAGCCAACCGTGCCTTTGTTTCATATGTGCAAGCGTATAATAAACACGAATGTAATTTAATTCTTCAGTTAAAAGATATTGATTTGGGAAAATTGGCTATGGGTTTTGGTCTTTTGAGAATGCCAAAGATGCCAGAGCTCAAAGGGAAGAATGTATCGTCTTTTGTTGGTCCTGAAATCGATATAAACACGATATCTTATGCAGACAGACAACGTGAATTGCGTAGGATTAAAAGATTAAGCGAATATCAGAACACTGGGATTTGGACAAATAATCAGAGCAGATGTAGACGAAAACGAGCGGAATCTTGGTCTGAAACTAAAAAGAAAAAGCTCGAGAGACAAGAGAAACGAAGTAAGCGAAAAGAAAGAAAGGAATTGAAACAACAATTTTCAACAACTTCCAATAAAAAGAAGAGGAAGCGAATAAACGAAGAAGATATCGTACAATTGGCGAAAGATGTAGCATTAATTAAAAAATTTAAGAAGAGGAAGGTAATATATCGATTTTTTCCATGTTACAAAAATAAGTCCCTGCTCCCCTTTTCCTCTCTCTTTCCTTTTATATTTTTATCATTTTGTATAATGCTTCTATTTAATTGCAGATATCGCAAGAAGAATTTGATGCGGCTTTTCAAGTATGAAAATGTCATGTCTTGAGGTGATTGTAGAAGGCTCATTTAAGACATCTCGAAAGCGATCGAAATTTCTCACTCTCTTGATATTTTCAATATATGTGTTTCTCTTAAAATATATCATATATTGGTAATGTAAACGCAGCAATTAATATTTCTAGTATTTCCTTATCATTCCTTTCCTTTGAGTTTCTACAATGGTTTACAGATAGATATTCGTATCATTATGTAAATAAATAGAGCATACATGAAAAATAATCACTAGTAAATAGTTTGTGACTACTAAGTGACGACAAGCATTTATTTGCAGGAGGTAAAGATCTCAGAGGGGATTTTCGCTTTTGCTGTATCATAAGATTCTTGAAGCTCAAACGTGCAAATTAATGCACACGTAATGAAACGCAAAATTCACTTCTGCATACAACATCTGCCACTACTGTCCCTATCTTCATTTAGTCTTTAGAGCGACTCCATTGCGCGACGGGGCCAGGATAACACAGTAGTGGGGAGTGAAATCTCCCAACAGGCGTATATACAGGCTTGATAGTATGCGTTCTCCGAATATGTGTGTATGCGTGCGTGCACACACCTTTTCAAAGAATGAGACTGCTGTACTGTACCTCGAAAAATTCGAGTATTGGTGTGCAGGAACGTATGGGTAGTCATTGAGCCGCTTTGAGATGATTCATGCACATTCGTGGTATACGTTAAGCGATTATACGTGATAACTTTGCGTTGAAGATAAAAGTTATTTTCCAACAGTGTCTTATTTTCATGCTGAAGAATGGAGGAGGAGTTGATAACTCGCCCAAAGTGGCTGTTGGAATTGGAAAATCGTAAGCGGAAGGTACATCTAATTTCAACTTGTAATATTTTGATTAAAAATCGACAAGTGTGATAAAGGAGCGAAAGATAATATATATAAAACTAAGATTGAAAGTTGATTGTGTTTCACGTTTATTTAGCCACGTTTAGCGCACGAAGCTGGAGCTGGTGCACCATGTACAAACTGTAATTCTGCGTGTCCTGGTCTTGATCTTCATTTCTGGCGAAAAATTTGCAAGAATTGTAAATGCAGTCGGGACGACCACGATGTCGATGACGATGAATTTCCACAATTTGATCTGCTATTTGGACCAAGTGGAAAGTTTAAAAAGAAATCCATGCGCAAGTATTTTATGTAGTGTATATATATATATATATTTATGTATACATACAAGGTCTGTCTCAAAAAATAATGAGACTGATTCTGGAAAAACCATTATTTTATTAAAAATATACTTAATATTTTTCAAAGTAGGATATATTCTTGAGCGTCAACACTGCGGTACTTCAGTCGCTGCCACTCTTCTTCGTAGCAGCGCAGAAAGTCTTGACCGGACATGTCTTTCAGAGCACTCTTCATGGCTATTTGGATCTTTTTAATCGTCTCAAAACGGTGGTTCATGATTTTAGAACGATTAAAAGGGTCCAAACAGCCGCGACGAGTGCTCTGGAAGGCGTGTTCGGTTAAAACTTTCTGCATTACTACAAAGAAAGGCAGCGACACTGAAACGCTGTATTAACGCTCAAAGATCCTGCTTTGAAAAATATTAAGTGTATTTTCAATAATACGGTTTTTCCACAATTAGTCTCATTACTTTTGGGACAGATCATGTATATCATTCACAATTATATTTCTGACTTTTGTAGTCGCATAATGTATTAATGAAGTGGTAGATTTTTTAAGTACTATTCAATGACGTCATTATTTTTATAATCTATGTACATTGAATGTTTCATTTGTTTGGAGTTTACTCAGGATGTTTACTCAAAAATCAAAACATAATTCTTATTTTGATTTTTGAATAAAATCAGATTTTCATGCAAGATACATCATTTTGCAAAATATAAAGATGTGTGTGTGTGTGTGTGTATACATATGCACACGCACCTCATATATATATATATATATATATATATATATATATATATATACGTATATACTTTTTATATCAGGAAAAAATTGATCTTCAGGTTTGCAAGTAAATAATAATGAGAAACAAAACGATGATGAAACTACATTCGAGTGGGTACCGCCGGATACAACTAAAGAACTGGCTATGGATTATATGAAAGCTTTGCCCGCAGAAAAATTGCCGATTAAAGGATCTGTTGGTGCTGTTTTGAGAAGGCAATTGTTACAGAAACAACTACCACTTCATGATATCGATCACAAAGTTTGTGATGAACTTAGTGAACAAGAGCAAAAACAATTTGAAAAATATTTAGAAAACATAAAGAAATATGTTGGACAAGGCAAAGTGATGAAAGTAAGTATAATAGTACAACTTGTCAGTTTTTGTAAGATCATCATAGATATTTACATATTGGAAAGCGAATGTTTCAAGCATTAATTTTCCTAGCACGCGTACAATTTTCATACAATACAGATACAGAATTATTATTTTTACAGATGTTGGGTGCCCGACCATTCGATCATTCTTTAATGACACCTGTTAATGCAACTGATATGCAAAAGTGCAGTCCTGCACAGCATAAATCGCATCATATACCATCTACTGGTGTACAATTACGTACACCGAGTAGCTTTACCGTAAAAGGTCCATATGCGAGGCATCCTTATGATGCTCAAAATAAACAGGATGTTGCTACAGCCACAAATAACAATGAGATCTCAACGAAGAGTACAGAAGAGTATAACTGCACACTGGACAATGTGTCTGTCAGTAGCAATGTCGCGAGATCGCAACCAATCGAAGAGAAATCGACTTGTGAGAATTTTCAACGTGCACACAATACCGTATCGATAAACGAAAAGGATTTAGATGGTAAAATGGTCAATTTTTCGCTTCGTACACATTTTGCTGATTTTGCTGAACAAGAAAGAAGCGTACCCGTAGCTCGCGAAAAGCATTCTTCTGGAAATGATGTATCTTATGAGAGAGAAGATGTTTTCGAAGGACACAGAAGAGAAGAGAAACTGAACGACAGAGATACTAATGACGAAACAGCAGCAGCTTTCATCGCAGAATCCATGTTGGCGGACGCGCTTCTTCCGCCCAGTGCTATACACGCCAATGATATTATCGGAAGCACATTGGACGAGAAAGGATTGATATTTATAAGAGAGAAGCTCGCCGACAAATATAACGTTCAAACATCAGAGAATTCAGCGTACACTGTTTCTAAATCAATCCGACAATCGTTGGATGCAATGAATGACACATTATATTCGCGTGGCAGCGGAGCTAAGGAGAATAACAATTCCGCAGGGACAACTGCAGGTATTACCGCTGCTACAGATTTGCTCCCTGCGGCGGAAAGGACAGAAGTGGGGAGCACACGCGCTTACGAAGCAGAAAGAAAGATGTATAAACTTGAGTCTCAAATAGTTAAATCGGCTACTGTACCCACCTGCTGCACTATCAATATAAACGAACAACGATGCTGCCGTAATTCGAACGATGACAAAGCGGCGAATAATGATCCGTTGATGATGGACGCATCTAAAGCCATAATAGAAAGCACTATAGGCCCACATACATTATCGAACAAACATAATTCTACAGATCCCGCTTTTCCCGAATCATCGAATCTATCGACGCAAACATCAGCTGCATCTATCGATGCAAAATCTAATCCGTTGCAAGTCGAGTTGAGTAGCTCGATACTGCAATCGTCAGTTATACATTCCGAACAATTGCAAAATCAAGTGTTCCCTCACATCGTTGGAAATTGCAACGAACAATATACGCAACTTACGGACTGTTTAAAAGATGCCATTGAGAATTTAAGGGTGGACTCGACTCGAAAAGTGCACAAGTGCCAAAAATGCCATGAGGACATACGCATCGGCGACGTAGTCGTAATCGCGGAGAAGGCCAATAACGCATCCTGGCATCCTGGGTGTTTCGTTTGTTCAGTATGCAACGAACTGTTGGTGGATCTCGTATATTTTTATTACAAGACCAGATTGTATTGTGAAAGAGACTTGGCCGCGTTTCTAGGAGTCCCTCGATGTTTCGCTTGCGATGAGGTAAGTGATAAACTTTCAAAACCACACTTAAAAAATGATAATAGTGGTGAATACTCACTTTATTTGACGCAACTATTTCTATTTACTGTGCAGTTGATTTTTGTACGAGAGTACACAGTTGCAGAGGGGCACAATTATCACGTGAAGCATTTTTGCTGCTGGGATTGTGATGTGCCACTGGCTGGGCGACAATATATTATCGAAAACGATCGACCACTATGTCTTCCTTGTTATCAAAAATCATATGCAAAACCATGCGCCGCCTGTAATATAGCGATTGCCGCTGATCAACAAGGAGTAGCCATCAAAAATTTAAACTTTCATGCAACTCAAGTCTGCTTTTGTTGCCACAGTTGTAAGAAAAATTTGCTGAATGGCAGAATGGCGATAAAGAAAGATAAATTATTTTGCAGTAAAGAATGCATCGCGAAATTTTTCAACTAACGAATCAATATCAATATGTAATAGACAAAAAAAAGTTTATCTATTTTTTGATGTGTTATTTTTGTTGTAATAAGAAAAATATATAATGTTTACGTAAATTTAATGAGTGAGAATGTAAGAAACATAAAGTATTAAATAAAACGTAAAATGTATTATAAATTATTTTAGAGATTAGTTTAAAAAAAGTCAGAATTGAATCCCTAATCGGAATGATTACAAAAAACTTCAAATATGCAAATCGCGCGTGCGTGACATACACACGCACGCACGCACGCACGCAGTGATGCACATACATAATTTTATATGATCATGTTGCGCTCTGTACTCGAAATGTTACATTGTGTAACATAATAAATTGATTTACCAATTCTATCTAGTTTTGATGACGCAAATCAATTATAATCCGATTATAATTTTAATGTAACATTGAAGATAAATAAATTTTTAAATGTATCGTAACTTTCGTCTTCAAGCGTAGCACAGTGACTCGTTATGTATTTAAGCAAAATGAAATAATCTCAATCATTTGATATAAATCCAATATATTCCTTCTTTTTTTTTCCTTCATATTTACGTACACAACGAAATTTGTCATCAGATGGTGTTACATAAATTTCGAAATTACTTTCTTCACGTACATGTCATCAGCAATTTATCTTTACTAAGAATAACTAGTCAATGTAATAAAAATTAATTTCTCTTTCGATATTTCTACATATAAATGTACATGAACATTATAATTCATCGATAGATACATTATTATAGACACTAGACACATTGTGTAAAAAAATAAAGATAATTGATGTATGGAAATTTGAGAATACAAAAAAACATTTTACATAGACACAGGAGAGCGCGCACACACACACACACACACACACACAAGCACACACAGATACACAATCGCGGCATCTGTGATGCTTAATACTTATAAAATATATTTATATCATTCAACACATTCGTGGCGGCGACCATGCTACGTTCTCTATTCCGAATCCGAATCACTATCAACAACAGTTTGAATACGCTTAAACGTATTGCGAGCCTCACGATGTCGCTGCGGTGTGTCCGGAAGTATTATCTTTTTAACATTTTCCATATTTCTTCGTGCGCGCGTAATTCGGCCTAAAATAAAAACGAATTCAATGTTGCGCGCAAAACACAATATAATTAATACAATAAAAACAATGACAATAAAACTTTGATATTAACCTTCAGATATAATGTTTGATGTATCCAATTCGGATACCTCCCTCATTTTTTCATTCTCTTCTCTCGCTCGTTTACACTTTTCCAACGTTGGCCTACCGCTAATGCCATTTTTCTCTAACAATTCCTTTAGACGCTTAATTTTTGCAGCGTTACTCTTACAATCAGCCCAAATGTCATTGTAAGATTTTACTTTCACGCCAGCGATGTTTAAATACTTCTTCAACGTCTGTATTTGTTTATCTTGTGGGTTCTGAAATAATTTAACATCTCATTGAAAAAAACGTTAATAAAAAAAAAAACGTGATTGTGCTATTACAAGATTTATTTACTAGATAAACTGCTGTACTTACAGCGTTACTACGTCTCCTGCTTCTACCCTTTGTAGATATCTTTTCCTCCTTTTCTGAATTGTTACTTTCACTTTTACTCCAAGATTCCTTCTCTGATAATTCTTCCTCCATTCCATTTTTAGTTTTTATCGTTTTATTAGCGCTCTCTGCTACAGTCGTATATGCATCTTCATCATCAGGTACATCGTCGGTGGCGACGTCGGCATTATTTTTGTGAGAATTTCTCCTTATACCTCTACCTCGTCCTTTTTTCGATTCGACCGAACGATGTTTGCTTGTCAATCTCTTCGTCGTCGGAGACTTTTTCATTTTTTTCTTCGTCCGTGGACTATAATCCTCATCCGAATTGCTATTCTGACTGTCCTCTGAGCCAGAAGCCTTCAGTTTACTGAAACTTGTTCGCGAACCTCTTTTCTTTGTCCGGCTCTTTTCCGATTTAATCTCCAATGTGTCGGTGCGAATTTGTTGCGAATCAGATTTTTCTTCTCCTTCTGAGCAGTCCAGTTCCGACTCATTTGGTTCGGCTTTGATGATTATCGTTTTCGGACGTGGTTTTCTATCTTTTTCATCTTCACTCGAAGCAGAACTCGAATCTTCTTTATCACTTGCACATTCCACCGAAAGCTCCAATCCATCAACCACTTCTGTGTCCACAGTATGTTTCTTGGCGGTATGTCGATTTTTTTTTATTTCATCTTCCTCGTTGTCTACTGCTCTATTTATCATTTTGTCCATTTCTTCTTTCATCTCTTTGTCTCCCGCTTCTGCTTTCTTGTTTTCAGAAATAGATGTTACACTTGTATTTGTAATAGGGATATCTTGGGATATATCGTCCTTTTTCTATTGAGAAAAAAAATTATAATTAAGCCATATAATATTCTATTCAATGTATGGATATTAAATCTATTTAATAAACAGAACAGATTTCATACTTAAGCTGATGTCAAAACACCAACAGTTTGGACACATTACGAAATGTAGCATAGAAAATGTAACTAAATGTAATGTCAAAAAACGTCGACTGCATGCTACGCATATGAGGAGGAAATACGCAATACATAGTTACAAACGCTTGACATAATAAAAAAAAAATTCTTAGCTAATTTTAATAGTAATGTAAGTTTGTGTTATATTACCATGTTCTCAACAATTTCTTCCTTAATATTTATTTCTCCCGGACTTTTGTCCAGAGCAATATTATTCTCTGGAGCACTCTTGTTCTCACTTTCTTGCTTCAAACTATCATCTTGTTCATCTTCTTTATTCTTTCCGTACATGTCTGATTCTGATATCTCTTGTATATTTTGTTCATTTTCTGGACCCAATATATATCTTTCCTCTTTCACATCACACCTATTAGTATTATTTTTGTTTGAAATAGTTTCAGTGTTATCAGTTTTTAACATTTGTGATCGTTCATTGAATGAACTTTGCCATTTCTTAGCAGGTAAATCTGTCTCATCTTCAGAATTTTCTACTCTTAGCCTTTTCTTTGGCAATACGGCAGTTACAGAATCAGATGACAGTTGTGGTCTCTCCATGTCCCCTTCCTCAGTTTCACTGCGATCAGAGTCTACCATTTTACCAGTCTGAAATAATTGCATGTTTCATTACTAATGGTAAATGGTAAATTAAGTCATTGAGTAACTTTTTACTCAATGTGTTAAGTAAATACATAAAACAAATGAAAAAAAATTGTGCGATTGTGTAATTAGAAAAAACGTATTTACGTATTATAAAATTAAAAATCTTAAAAGTAAATAATCTTAGATTTTAATTTGATAACAAGGGATCTTATTGTATTTTTAAACAACGCAAATTGTATTGTGGATATGCTATTTCAATGACGTAGAACATGACGATTTTTCTTGCATGTATCGAAATATGTTCTGTCGACCGTCAAATTGTCACTCGTATATGGTCTTGCAAATGCAAAGAGAATTTGACGCAATTGGATGAATGATTAAATTATCGATATTCTAATCTTATAAATCACGTATGACACAGCTTCACTGTTGTTAATTATATGTCTGTTGCTAATTCTAAATTATATATGTATTATAACTTTACCACAAATGTTTACATAATTATATAATTATGACGATTTACGATCACGTACGTATATATGCATATACTATCTGTTTGCTACACCGACTGACCGACGAGTGTATACATATGTATATACGTTTGCGCGGCAAAATTTACACGTAATGGAGGCACACTGTGGGCGCGTTCAACCGCAGAGAGGATCTTGAGAGAGGACGGCTCCTTTTGTTTGTTAGCTGTTGTAACGGTAAAATGCCTTGTGCACTAACGCCCTCTGAAGAAATGGTTGTAAACTATATAGCAAAATCCATTTTTCTGCACCGCGGGTATTATATAATTTGTGGTGCGTGTCCGTGCTAAAAATCCACTTTCGAGACTGCTAGGGCTTTATTCTCGAAAAATTACGCATTCAAAAGTATACATATATACATATTTGTAGTTTTGCATGCGAAATTTTTCGAAATAAAGCTCCAGCAGTCGATCGAAAAGTGCAGGATTAAGCACGGACACGCACCACAAATTGCAGTTATACATCCGCGGTGTACTACAGAAAAGTGGATTTTGCTATATAGTTTACCTCCACTTCTTCGGAGGGCGTTAGTGTACGAGGGCATTTTGCGATAACAGGCCGCTGTCATGTCCTCTTTCTGGTTAGTAGTCAGGTTTCTCCTCTCTGTTAACACTGAACACTGAATTCACTTAATCTATTTTAATCTAATTAGGTAGTCATCATCCAATTTTTGAAAGTTGTAAAAGGAATTAGGATGAGTAATATAAAGGAAATTAGGGAAAGCAGAATAAATTTGAGATAGAGAAAAGTGAAAATAAGTATTAAGTTGTAAGGTGTCGTATAACATAACCTTGATGAGAGATTGAAGATCGTCGCAGAGCCATCATCCAATGGTAGGTATAAGCAGTGTATAACACTCACATACCAAAAACCCCTCTAATTAGGTAGTAAGAAATCCATAATCAAAAAGAGGAAAAGAAGCAGGTGTTGAAAGTTGAGTAGACATATCACATATAAATGTTCATTGATTTAAAAATTTAGAAGAATTATTAAAAAGATTCAAAAGATTGATATTAAAAAATTGAAATATTGACTTTTTCAAAGCAACTTTCTACGATGAGCAGTTATGGTAATTGTTATTTTATTCTGTATAAATACATATAGTTGTAAATATTATAAAGAATTAATGCTACTTCTTTAATAAGTTTTGTAAAATTAATATCTTGAGTAATGTTTTCAATGTGTTATTATGTTTATTTTATATATAATATATATATATATATATGTGTGTGTATGTATTTTATTATTTTATATAGGAGCACAATTTGATAAACACAAGTAAAACACAAATCAACAAAGACAAATACAATGAAGAAGATATCGATTCATTTGGCCATAGGAAATCAAGTAATAAACCCAAATCTAAAAAGAGAAAAGTCAAAAAGGAGAAGAAGAAACATAAGAAAAAGAGAAAATGCTCATCTTCAAGCAGTGTGATTATAAAAAATTTTATACATTTTTATTTTAACATTTACACAAACCTATAATATATAAGTTATATAATATATTTTTTATAGGAAGATGACAGCACAAAATCTGAATGGGTGGAGAGAAATGTTAAAGATCAAGTTTCGTTGGGTACTATTGAAAATTTTGTTGATTGTAGAGCACAAGATAATCAGCGTAAGAGAGACGAATGGATGAATATAGAAAGTTTTATTCCTTCATATCTATCAAAACCCAATGTGAAATCACAAGGATTGGATATGAAAGAAAAAGATGAGACTATGATTTTTTTAAATAAACCTGGACAAAGTGACAGAGAATTGAATCCATACTGGAGGGATGGAGGTGATGGATTACCTCAAAATAATCCTGAAAAATCTGATAATCCAAAGATTTTGGATGCAAATTGGCTAAAAAAGAGTCTTCAGCGAGCCAAGGAACAGGCTTTTCGAGATGGTAAACATTTAGAGGAGGTAGCTGCCGAACGTTGGGGTGTAAGTTAATTAAAAGAGCAATTTGTGTGTGTGTGTGTGTGTGTGTGTGTGTGTGTGCGTGTGCGTGTGTGCGTGTGCGTGTGTGTGTGAAGTGCTGGATTAATTATTAATATTAATAAAGCTGTTTTTCTTAGTCCTTGGAAACTATACAAAGAATGATAGTTGAAGCGGAAAGAGTGTCCAATACTCAACAGAATAAACTGTATTGCAAAAGATATTACAATGACAAAAAGGATGAAGATTCTCATTCTCTTACAATTTTCAATTCGAGATTAAGAAAGCATTTAAAATCTAGATCGAGATCGAGGTCGAGATCGAGATCGAGATCGAGATCGAGATCAAGATCGAGATCAAAATCGAGCTTGAGCTTGAACTTGAGCTCTACAAGCAGGGATCATGCTGGAAAATACAATAGGTCTGACTATTCGTCGCAACATTGCTCAGAGTTGAAAAGAACCTATCGCAAACCCAAAAATAGCGACGATTATTATCAACATACTGCCAGTAGTCATATGAAAAATCGTTGGAAAAAAGATAAAAGCGATGAAAAGAAATGTCAAGTTATCGAATTACCTGAATCTGAGTCTACAAAAGTAATCGATTTAGGGAATATTAGCGGGACGAATGAGATGGATAAAGATAAAGGCATTGGTGTTTTAACCGAAGCGGAAATGAACAAATTAGGAGCAAGGATCATTAAAGCTGAACTAATTGGTGATGATGTACGCTTATGCTTGTTGTACTAGCTGTTGTTTTTATACTAAATACGATTTTTAACTCATTTCAATCTTACATTTACTTGGAATGATTTATTTATTTAGGAATTGGCAACGCAGCTCAAAATACAATTAGAATACGCAAGAAAACATATTGCATCATGTAATGTCAATGTGAAAGAGGAAAATATAATTCTCACAAAAATCGATGCAAAAGGTACTCTTACATCTCTTGTTTTAAATAAATAAAAATAAATGATTGTTTATGTTGAAATTATAATATTCAATGGAAATGTGTATGTTAGGTACGGCAAGACCTCTTCAGCCCAGGAGCCAATCTAAGCAGGAAAATTACAGAAAAAAGAAAACTGCCGAGACACATGTCTCTGGTGAGAGAGTACGTCATTTTGCAGATGACGATAAATATTCTCTTCAAGAAATGGTTAGTATCAAAACGATTAGTATCTCGAAAAATTTTAACATAACACAAATTTCTATTGCAGTTTCAACGAGAAAAAGGAAGATCCACGAATGAAGATGAAGCAATCTTTACTAAACTCGCTTCTAAAGTAAATTGACCAAGTGAATTTGAAATTATTGATCACTGAAATGTTGAAATTGAAAATAATATCTACCTATCTCCTTTTACAGAGCATGGATCATATGGATGATATATTTGAGCGACAAATCGCACAAACAGATTCCGAAGCAAAACAAGACAAGTGGGATCGTGTACAGGCAATTAAAGAGCACAAGAATTTATCCAAGTGTATGGATAATTGTTGGTGGTGCTTTGATTCGAAAAATATGTTAAAACACATGGTCGTTACAATGGACTCTGTGATTTGTCTAAGCTTGCCTGTTTACGCTTCCTTGAGTACTGGTCATTGCATATTGACACCTATACAGCATGTGGCATGTCAGTTGCAATTAGATGAAGATGTATGGGATAGGCTGAAGGTAAAATTCTTCTTTGTGTTTTATTTAATTAATTTCAAAATATCTATTCGCGCAATATAACGATATAAAATTCATCTCTCTCTCTCTCTCTCTCTCTCTCTCTCTCTCTCACACACACACACACACACACACATTTTTTTCACAGGAATTGAAAAGAAAATTAACAAAAATGTTTACGGATGAAGATCTTTATCCAATATTTTTTGAAGTGTACAAAAGACGCTGTAAATTTTCACATATGCAATTAGAGTGTATTCCGTTACCGAAAAAGATTGGCGAGTTGGCACCGATATATTTTAAGGTAAGTAATAAACCGATACAACATATTGCCAAATTTTACATAAACTTATATTTTACTTTGAGGTTTTTTTTTCTTTATAGAAAGCTTTGTCGGAATGTGAAACTGAATGGTCCATTAACAAGAAAATTGTTGATCTAACATGTAAAGGTATACGTCATGCCATACCGAATGGTTTATCTTATTTTATGGTAGAGTTTGCTTTACACCCTGGTTATGCTCATGTAATCGAGGACGAAGAAATGTTTCCACAGAATTTTGCCAAGGTGAGATACGATAGATTGTTAAAATTATTCACTGGAAAACTTTAGTTTTTAATTTAAATGCAATTGTAAATTTACGTGTCGTGTATATATGTATGTATGATGTGTATATACATTTTTTATTTTTTAGGAAATAATAGGAGGGATGCTGGACTTGGATCATAACTTGTGGCGGAAACCAAAAAGACAAAGTTTTGAGGAACAAAGGGTGAAGGTATTAGAGTTCACAGAAAAATGGAAAAAATATAATTCCTTATAATCAAAAAGCAATTGGTCGTTTTATTTGACAAAAATTATATAGTTATGTAAATTTAAATATACTAGTACATAACAGGCGCGCTCGCTGCGTATTGAATCCCATACATTTTCCAATAACATTTATACCAATTTACATTTTAATTAAACAAATGTTAACAATTTTTGATAAAAAATAAATTTTCAAAAAAAATGACGCTTTGCGCGCGGTGCAAACTCGGTATTAAACTCCATACATCGTCCAATAACATTTATACCAAATTACATTTTAATTAAACAAATTTTAACAATTTTCAATAAAATGATGTTTTAATCGACCATTTTTAAATCAAATCACGATGTGTATAAGAGACAGGCCATATTGAATCGGTCATTTTTAAATAAAATCACGATTTTTTAAAAAATAGCCACATAATTCATCTTTAAGCCCAGAAAGAAGTCAATATTTTTATTTTTCTGGAAGATATGAATTTTTAAACATTGAGGAAAAGAAGCTTCAATGCAGATAACATGGCATTTGATTTTTAAGATAAAAATTTTTTTTTTGACAATTTTTTATATCAGTTGATTTTTAAACTAAAAATTTTTTTTGAATATTTTTTATATCGTTTGATTATTAAAATAAAAATTTCTTTTGAAAATTTTTTATATCATGATTTTTAAAATAAAAATTTTTTTTAATCCACTATTACCTACCACCACTCACCACCACCCCCCACCACCCACCACCACCACCCATTACCACTACCATTTTTTATATTATGTGATTGTAAAGTAAAAAAATTTTTTTAAAAAAATTTTTTATATCGTGATTTTTAAAATAAAAATTTTTTAAATATATATATTTTCTTTCTTAAATGAATCTACTTCAATCTTTGTACAGCGTTATTATTATAAGCATTATGTGTGCAGTTTAATGTTTATGAATTTCATGTATATCAATTCTACGGTTAATACACAGAAAAATTTTGTAAAATTATTTCTCTCACTATAAAAATCAATCGTAAATCATCGTAAACTTTGGATTTTTAGCTTATTTCAAAATATTTTAAAACTCCTGTTAGCCAATGGAGAGACAAGGGCAGAGATTCATTGTTCATTTTTATCCAATTAAACCATCATTTCTGGACATGTATTGTTCGAAAATTCCGATCGGAATTAGTTCATTTTCCTTTGGAAAACACAATAGAAATCTATAAATTAATTGAATAATTCTTTTCTGTCAAGTTGTGAATTCCATTCCCTAAGGGAGAATTCACACGTTAACACAGAAAAGTAGAAGCCAATCGGAAGTTGCACTTGGTTGCATTTAACCTATTAATTGTGTAAGTATTATTAACACTTGGTGGCTATTATAAGTGCAATTTCTGATTGGTTTGCCGCCTTTCCGCTCCAATGTAAATCCTCCCTAAGGCTCTCTCTGCTCCAGTACTCCGTATACGTATGTATACACTACATCTTAATTTATGTACATACGAAGCATGATAAAGACTACAATGCGGGGGTGTTTGTGAAATAGAAAACAGCTTAATTTTTAAAATTTGCGAAATAGAAGTCAGCGATGGATACTTTAGAATTGGATTATGCCAAAATGCTTCGTTACATAGGCTTAGTCGTATCAGACGGTAAATATCCTCAAGTGTCCCCCTTAGATTTATATTTGCATTCACGTTTATATTCGCGTTGCATCGCGTCAACGCGAAAACTTTAGCCATCTCACTCGAGTTTCACATGTCTGCCCTTTCGCTCTCCAGATTGCCTAGATTCGGAAATGATAGATGGTGTACCGATACGAAAATTGTTCGTCAGTAATTTGGCTGAAAGGGTTTGTCTTCATTTTTATGCCACACACACATATCTTAACATTTTAACAACATGCTAATACAAACTCTGTATGTATCATATTTGCTACCTAAACCCGACTATTTGTCTGATGTGAATTTTATTCCAGACAACTTTCAAGGATTTACGCAATCACTTTTCTATGTATGGAAACGTTGAGAGTTGTTACCTACGTAGAATTCAAGGGAAAAGTAATTACGCGTTCGTTACGTTTACTAAAGTGGCAGATGCAATAACGTAAGTTTAACGAGGCTACACTAGCATAAATTACTCATAGACAAACAATGGTTTGTAACCAATTGTTTGTAGAGCGATGCAAGACGGCAGTAGGAAACAAATAAGATTGCACAATAGAGATTTAAGAGTGATGGCTGCAGATTCTTGGCATCAACCTGACAGTATGGAACAAAGATTATATAATGTGGGAAAAGATTTGAATAAAACTTCTGAAAGAAAGGCTACCATGGAACAATATGATCAGAAATATCTGCAAAACGATAACGAAAGTGTATCCATCCATATATTGAATGATGATTGCTTGAGACATATCTTCCTATTTTTGCCAATTGTAGAAAGAGTTCGTATAGAGATAGGTGAGTCCAAGTATACACGTATAGAGTAGAGTATAGACGTATGTATATCGTATTTATTTGCTTTTACAAAGAAATGTGCATTACTTCACTATTATATTTACAGTTTGCAAACGCTGGAGAGATTTAAGCCAAGATTCCTGGCATATGATTAAGACATTGGATATCTCACCTACTACATGGGGTTTTTCATACACCCATATGATTTCTACAGCTTTACTTCGTAAAATATTGCTGAAATGTGGCAAATTCTTAACGCGATTAGACATAGATGAGCCACTTCATTATTTAAGTCAAAGCACGTTGACTATTATTGGAAAACTTTGCCCTAATCTTACGCGCATTAATATTACTGCACTGACAGTTTGCGCGTCAGGTATACGTACATTAGCAAATAATTGTAAAAATATAACCAAGTTTTGTTTAGGACCATCTACCTACAGTTGTGATAACGAATTGAAGTGTCTCTTTAAACTAAATCAAAACTTGGAATGCCTTTTAATAACCAGAAATAATATTTTGGGCAAATCTTTATTATACTTGCCAGAGCAAAGTATGCATACAGTTACATTAGACCGCTGCGACTATCTCCAGGACAATCATCTTGCAGAGGTAAATCGATCATTTTTCTCTCGTTTTCATTATTCAATCGGGATTATATATATATATATATATGTATGAATTTATCACATACGCGCGCGCTTGCGTTTGTGTGTTTGATATTGTTTGATATTGTTACAGGCACTGAAGAAACTAGAAAATTTAACACATCTCGCAATAATCGAATGTATCGGCATAGCTAAGCATACGTTGGAAGTTGTTGGTCAGCATTGTAAAAATCTAAGAGTATTGGAGCTTAATGGAGACTTTCCCTCCGCACAAACGGCAGATATATTATATTTAATTCACCTCGTCAATCTGCAGGATTTAAAAATTACGTACAATCCTAAAGTATCAGACGATTTCTTTACTGATTTAGTACAACATTGTCAGCAACTTACTAACGTAGACATTACAGGTAAATTATTGTATATATGTATGTATTTTTTTTATGTTATCATTATGTTTTACAATTATTATCTAACAGGTTGCTGCAACGTGAGCGATGTTGGATTAGCAGCTATCGCTACGTTAGTAAAATTAGAAAAATTGATTGTCAGTTATATTCATCAAATTACTGACGAAGGTTTAAAAAATATGTGTGGTTTAAAAGAATTGGAGTGCCGAAGATGTCCACTTAGTGATCGAGGCATAACAATGCTCATCAAATCCTCGCCTCAATTACAATTGTTAGATCTCTCTGGATGTAGATATATCAAGGGTACTATTCTCGAAGTTGCTAAAGATGCTTGTAGCAGTCGGACTAATAATGTGATGTTGAAGATGATTATTGGAGGAACAGCAATTTTCGACCGCTTTGATCTAGAGAGACTACCTCCGCTATTGCACATAGTTAATGTCGATTTGTCTAACCTTAGTAATGTGTCTACTACGTTTCTCAATGAAGACAACTTGGAATCTTGGTACAATCGAGATAATATAGATTTTGATACAGATTATTCCTATACAGATTATTCCAATACAGATTCCGATACGGAACTTTATTAACTTCTACAGATCAATCCGACTAGATGAAATATTCAGAAGATAATTACAGAGAACCTAACGAATTAGATCATTATTTGTATAACAATTCAGATTCTTAAAACTCTGCATCACAGTTTTGCTATCGTTTAATCGATTTTTTCTTTATTTTTTCTTTAAAGACAATTAGTCTTTATCATTGTTGAGATTGAGCTAAGATTTCGCATGTTTGTTAAAAAACGATTGACTTTACATTATTTACGTACTTATTTTCGTGAAGGTATTTATTTTCTAACGTTACAATCGAACATGACACACACGCGCACACACGCACGCACACGCACACACACACACACACACAAATCTATTGTATATATCATATTATTTATATTACGCGATAATAAAGTGCATTAAAATAAAGTTCAGCAAACGTAAAATTATCTATAAATTGATATCAGTTTTATTATACATACCTGCATGTTTTTTTCTCTATCAGAGAATATTTTACTTAATATTATTATATAAGATATATAGCTACACTTGTATATTTATATGTCGGGTATTTATATATCGAATATAGAATTACAACATCGATGATTTTATTGTATTTATAATTAATAACGTTTAGACAATGAATCAATACAACTGCAATTATTATGCACATATATGCAACGAGGAATGTGCACATATTTTAATAAGTGCTAGGAATTACGAACTTTGCGCATAAAATTATGAATCGCTTGATAAAATTGCTAAATTATATTGGCATTTTCATACACTTTACGACACGATTTTTTTTTTATGGATATCTTTTAATCGTGTATATTGTCTTCCTATGGTAGATAATAGAAACCATTTTACAACAATATATGCATTATATGCGTTTGTTCTTACTATTAATATTATTGTGTTGCCGTTGATCGCGATACGAAACGTAACATGATTTTAATTCTTGAGCGTCTTACGCTCTCACTGATACACATACACACATGGAGAAGTATCTCACACCGCACACAAGTATTACGATATACTCGCAATACTTCAATCCGGTGATATTTAAGCCAACTCGTAGATAGTTATTAGTTATTACATGTAATATGAGACTAACTTGTAGATTACATCTACAAAATATAATATTCAGCGTAAGACATTTCAACGAACGATAAATCGATCGTAATATTATGATTTTGCATATTTGTAATCTATTCGTGTTTTCCCACGACGATTCTATTGCACTGTTTATGTATTAGTGTACTTTTCTATGAAATATGTCTAGTCAACTTTTATGCCAATAATAATGTAACCATTAAGCGCTGCATGATTAAATGCCTGTTTAAACATGCGGAAAAATTGCAGCAATTTACATTTAATGAGGCATATAAAGTGATAAAGATAATGAGGCAATATTAAAATGAAGAAAAATTCAATTAGCATTTAATTTTTGAAACATTCTCGTTGGAATTTTAAGTTGGCCACTAATAAAATGGCAAAACGTTTCTCAAATACATTTATCAAAATTGCACAATAAGATTGATTTGACATGTAATTGGACGCACAAAAGATGAATCTTTTTGTTGCGAATGAGTGATGTGTATGTGTATTTATGTATGTATATACATACACATTTGGATGAATTGTTCATGGATAATAATGATGAAAACAAACATACACACACACACACACACACATTTTCTTCATTTTTACTATTCATCAATAAATGAAAATGTGAGATACTTCACTCTATTACCATTATGCATTTTATATTTTTAAATTAATGTAAAATACCAATAATAAATCCAGTCTTTATCGCACATTTAGCACTAGGAAGGAATCGAAAATATCACCCACTGTGTGCACATATATTTTGCAGCAGAACGAATTCATAACGAAATATTCTAAATTCTATCGTGTAAACAGTTCAACCATATTACGAATTCTTAATGCGAAAAATGAGACAAGTTCTATTTACTTTGTACGTTTGCCAATGTACTGAAAGATTAATTATGCGATGATAGAGTTGGTCTTTCACATCTTAAATGTATAGTCTATTAAATATAAGTTTATACATTAATGTTGATAAATTCGCAAGAATTTTATATCGCAAGTGAATTAATTTGAAGGACTTGGATTATATTATCAAAATACTCTCTCTAGATTGCCTTTTTTTAAAAAAAAAAAAAGATCACTGTAATGTAAAAAGCGTTGTGTATGGTGTGTATATGTGTGTGTGTGTGTGTGGGGGGGGGGTGCGCGCGAGCGCACAAATGTGCGTTGCGTATGTGTACGTGCGTACGTGTGTGTATGTGTGTGTCGCACACGCGCGCACGTGTACGAGTGAAAATAAAAATTACAACCGTGTTTAATCAAAATTATGCATTGATATAAAAACAACGGTTTAACATGATTAAGGATGACATTTTTGATCGTGTAAATAACGTTTCTATGAATGTCAGGTACAAATCTTATACAAGTAACTCGATCTAATTAATTTTCTCAAACGACGTTGGTAGGTTTAATGCTCATTCGCACATCCTAATATCATATCACGGGAAACACAATTTGCCCATGAATTTTATAATAAACTTATATTGCAATTTGTCATCTTACATACTTTCAACAGAAGCATAAGAACGAACACGTAAAGTGAATCTTACAAAATTAATATTTGGCACAGTGGCGTGCTATGTGTAAATTATTTGGACGAGTAAAGTCCGAGCGCGAAACATAATTAATTCATCTGGTCCGCAAGAATTAATTCACAAGACAAGTCAGTTTCACCGATATATATGACGGTGATACTTAACAAGTTATATATATTACAACGTAATCGTTTCTTCCTATAAAACCAATAAAATGGCCAAGATACATAACAACGTGGTCAATCAATCGGATTCCTTACGATTGCTGTCATAAGTAAATCCCTGTAATCGTTTGCGCAATGCTCAACAATAAACAATGATACGGATTTATTTGATACGATCAACGGACCTAGCGCACCTACCAAAAACGTAGGTGTATTAATTTTGTAAAAAGACATCGATCGAGGGAGAGAAGAGAACATAAGAGATATACGCCACCGTTTGATCGAATAAAAACCTAAATGAACCAAGGCGTAATTTAGGAGTACTGAACGCGAATATACGTAGTCAAGTATGTAAGAGTTACATTTATTCAGGATTGCACGGTCGATAAGTGCGTTGGCGTAGATGGTTCCAAGTTCATCGTGCGGCATACCCATCCAGCGAGATCTACGTTCTCCGACTCGGCTTTCTTTATCCACTCATGATTCTAAAACACACGATCGGAAATCACAATGTTTTTTTCTTTCTGTTAAGCTATTGTGTTGACGTTTATTCGAGAAAGAAGGAGGAGGGAATCTCTCGATACCGTTAACGTTTTCAAGTCTGCCCTGTCGTTTGGGTTCCTCTTTAAACATCGATCGATGAAATCTATGAAAGCATTGCTGAATAATCCGGCTGGCAGTCTCGGCGGTGGTTCATTAACTATCAATTCCAACAGCTCGAATACCGCCAATGGCTTGGGAGTGTGCGGGTCTATGATAGTTGAAGAATCGTCGATTAGAATTTAACACAATTTTTTTTTGCACGATGCGAGAATGTGAACAAGAATGCGAAAGCTGCGTGTAAGAGTAGATACTGACGTCTCGATGGCGATTGTGGAGACAGCGTGGAATCGCTGTCCGTTATCGAATCCTCTCCGCTGTGTTGCGACCATTCTGAACCGAATATAGCAGCTAAAAGCTTATCATCCGGCGGTGGTATAGGATACATCCCAATCGCCATTTCCACGAGTGACACTCCAAGCGACCAAATGTCGCTTTGCACCGAGTAATGCGATCCCTGGAGTCTTTCTGGCTGAAAACGTTCGATATTAAGATACACTTGAGATGTACATACATTGCACGTAATATCACGATTCACGAGCCGTAATATCCATCCATGCGTCACAGCTTACCGACATGTAACTTCGCGTGCCAACGAACGAATGAGCCATCGAATCGATCAGTTGTCCAGAAACGCCAAAGTCGCAGAGCTTGATCTCACCCGCGCTGTTGACCAAGATGTTGCTCGGTTTTACGTCCCGGTGCATTATGGCGTGCTTATCTCGCAAGTACGTTAAACCTTTCAGAACCTGTAAAGAAGAAATAGATAGTTTACAATGTCATTTTATGGTAAACAAACGAACAGGGAAAAAATATGAAGCGACAAGTTGGCAATGGAATGTGTGACGCACGCGAATTGTCGCTAATTAATCACTAATCATAATAAAAGAAGAGGAAGAAGCAGAAGAAAAAGAGGAAGAGAGGTAAGGAGGTTTTTGTGCCAAGCGCAGCGTTTCATTCATCGTATGTATACGTCTCGATATTAAAAATATTTCGCGTCGCGTTAAAGAAATACAGAGTAGAGCTTGAAGCAGCAGTAGCAGCAAATGATGCAGCAGCCGAGCCGCGTCCGGGCATCCTCTATGCCACATGAACCGACTCGCGCATCCATCGTACACCTACACAAGAAGAAGCTGACCGAGCAGGAGATACAAGAATTGCATCAGGAATTGGAGACTGTCGACCATGTAATTGCTCTGGAAAGTTTGTACGAGAGGCTAGGTACAAACGCGAAAACAGGCCTGACAAACGAGCAGGCGCGCAAAATCATGCAACGAGATGGACCGAACGCCTTGACACCGCCCAGGCTCACGCCAGAATACATCAAGTTCCTAAAGTGCATGTTCCACGGATTCGCCTCGTTGCTCTGGGTCTGTGCGATTCTATGCTTTGTTCTATACGGCGTTACTCTTTTGATGCACGAGGAAGATATCGGCATCGCATGGCTAGGCATAATCATCGTTACGATATGCATCACTTCGGGGGTATTTGCGTACATACAAGAGAGCAAGAATATCAAAGTGATGGAGTCCTTCAAGAAAATGGTGCCGACCTTCGCCACCGTGATCCGCGACGGTGTGAAACTGCGGATGAGCACGGAGGAGTTGGTTTTGGGCGACCTGGTGGAAATACGTATGGGCGATAAGATACCGGCTGACATTAGGATAATCGAGTGCCGCGGGCTCAGAGTTGAGAACTCTAGCATCACTGGCGAGAGCGAGCCGGTGGCCCGCACAAATTATCCCACCGACAGAAATCCCCTCGAGTCTGCCAACGTGGCCTTTTCCACGTCATTCGCTGTCGCGGGTGACGGCCGAGGGATCGTGATCGCTACGGGTGACCACACTATGATAGGCCGGCTGGCCGGTCTCACGTCACATCTCGCCAAGATTGAAACGCCAATCGCCAAGGAGATTCGACATTTCGTCGAGATAATCACAATCGTGGCCGTAATCTGCGGCCTGGCATTTTTCGGTCTGTCGCTGCTGCTCGAACCTAATATCGTACGAGCGTTCACTTACCTACTCGGTATTGTTATCGCCAATGTGCCCGAAGTGTTACTAGTGACCGTGACGACAGTCTTGACGCTGACCGCTCAGAAAATGGCGAGCAAAAATTGTCTGGTCAAGAATCTCGAGGCAGTCGAGACTCTAGGCTCGACATCGGCGATTTGCTCCGACAAAACAGGCACTCTCACGCAAAACAAGATGTCCGTGTCCAACTTATGGTTCGGCCATACCAGGTACAACTTTCCGCCAGGCCAGAGAATCGGCGTCGAGAGGGATCTGCTGCTGGAGAAGCCGGCTTTCGGCGCGATGCTACGAGCCGCCACTCTCTGTCTGCGCGCCGAATTCACCGCCGAGTCCTTCATGCTAGCGCCGATCGAGGAGCGCGAAATCATTGGCGACGCATCTGAGACCGGTATCCTCAAGTTCTGCGAGCACATCCATCCGACGCAGAGATATCGCGTCGAGGCTCATCCGAAAGTCGCCGAGATCCCCTTCAGCTCTACAACCAAGTATCAGATGTCGATACATCGGGATCATGCCTATGGCTACACGATGATATTGAAGGGTGCACCAGAGGTGATCCTGGAAAATTGCACGACGATACTGACGGCGGACGGGGAAACGAGAGAGATGACCGCCCATGACCACGCGATATCTCGCCGTGCCTGCACCGAGCTGGGTTACCTCGGCGAGCGCGTCCTAGCGTACTGCGATCTGCATTTGCCCGCCCGTACGTACGGGCCAGATTACAAGTTCGATACCGATTCACCCGCGTCCTACAATTTTCCGGTCAAGGGATACAGATTCGTCGGGCTGATAAGCCTGCAGGATCCCCCGAGGCCCGGCGTGCCCGAGGCAGTACACAAGTGTCGTACCGCGGGTATAAAGGTGATCATGGTGACGGGTGATCATCCGGTGACGGCGATGGCGGTCGCCAAGAAGGTGGGCATCATAAGCGAGGGTCACGAGATTCATTACGAACGATCGATCCTACAGAGCAGGTCTTACTCGCAAACGAGCGCCCTCGACCCCGCCGTAGTCGACGTAGCCGGCGCGATTGTAATCACCGGCGCCGAATTGAGAAGCATGGATGCGAACGAGCTAGACAAAATTATACGCCGTTACGAGGAGATTGTGTTCGCGAGGACGTCACCGCAACAAAAGTTGCTAATCGTCGAGAGCTGCCAACGGCTGGGAGAGATCGTCGCGGTCACCGGCGATGGTGTCAATGATTCGCCGGCATTGCGGCAGGCTGACATTGGAGTAGCGATGGGGATCGCCGGCTCCGACGTTGCGAAGAATGCCGCCGACATGATTCTCATGGATGACAACTTCGCGTCGATCGTCACCGGCGTCGAGGAGGGCCGCCTGATATTCGACAATTTGAAAAAGTCGATCGCGTACACGTTAACCTCGAGCGTGCCGGAGATGTTGCCGATGTTGAGCGGCCTGTTGTTCGCGATTCCCCTACCATTGGTCATCGAATTGGTTATCTGCATTGACGTCGGCACCGACGTCATCCCGGCGATCGCTCTCGCCTACGAGAGGCCCGAGTCCGACATAATGCGCCGGGCGCCGAGAAATCCTCAGTACGACAAGCTCGTCAACAAGCGTCTGATATCCATCACCTACGGCCAGATAGGAATGACACAGTCATTGGCTGGATTCTACACTTACTTCATGATACTTATGATGAATGGTTTTATGCCCGATCGTCTATTGGGTTTACGAATAGAATGGGAGAACCCATCCATCAATGATTTACAAGATTCCTGGGGCCAAACGTGGACCTACGAAAACAGAATGAATCTCTTGATGGAAGCGCAAAGCGGATATTTCCTTTCCATCGTTATAACGCAAATGATAGATCTGGTCATGTGCAAGACCAGGCGCAATTCCATCTTTCAACAAGGAATGACCAACTGGTTCGTCAACTTTTCCTTTGTTTTCGAAATTATTCTAACGGGACTCTTGCTCTACGTTCCAGGCACGGAATACGTATTGCATACTATGCCATTGATGGCTTACTGGTACTGGCCTTGCTTGCCGCTCGGCGCCTTTCTTTGGATCTACGACGAATTGAGACGTTTGTGCATTCGTCTCTTTCCAGGTGGCATTATGGAAAGAGAAACGTACTATTGAAACAAACTTTCCTTTCCTTTCCTTTCTTACGAGCCTATACATATGTATATACTACCCCGATGTGATTACGCCAAGTTAACGCAATCTACCAAGTAACTTACATATTCGTAACGATGCGTTATGCACATACGGTCATCTGTCTGTACGTGTCTCATGTTTGAGAAATAAGTTGCTACAATCATTTACTGAGAGAGATTACTGTTATTACCCCCAATTTATTTATTATCGGTTGGAAAAGTATAATCGCTATCGCAATAGAATTTAATTTTTTTTCAACTGCGAGAACTGCCCCCGTTTCCCTCTTTTCCTCTTTATTTCTTTTATCGATAATAAAAATCTGACTTACAGCACATGTGATTGTACTTATCATGGATTCTGGAATACGTCCTGCTCTTTTCATTATTAGATCTAACGATCCACCATCCATATATTCCATACATATACAAATTTCTCCTCCACTGAAATAGCATACATATATATTTCTTTTTTCTTTTCACACAGCTGTAAAGAAATGTTTATGTACATACACAACACACCCGTGCGCGCGCCCAAATATTTATCTGACATTACATACGCACGTGTGTGCTGTGCGTATGTGCGTCAAGAAATCATCCTTAAAATGTTAACAACTCTTAAAAGTTTACCTGCAAAAAGCGCCATAAAATCCAACTATATGTGCAAAGTTACATTCATGAAGAACTTTTAATTCTCTAATTATTTGTTTTTTAATAGGTGGTTTCACTTCCAAGCGTATTTGCTGAAAAATTCAAAAGTGACAGTGAGTGCATTTCAAATGTTTATGAAATTAAAAGTTATATACAATCATTTACCTTCATTGCCATTATAAGACCATATTTTATATGTCTGACTTTTGTAACAACGCCACCATTACCCGAACCTAATTCACCTAATTTTTCAAAATCCTCGCCACACAGTTCTCCAACTTTTTCCTTCTGTCCCAGAAAGCTTTCTAGTCGTTTCTTTTGTTCCTCATCCATTTCTAGATCTTCTAGTCTCGCTTGGAGAATATCAATGTTCAATGAGTCCTTCATGCCGCTGCAAAAAAATTTTAATCTTAGAATTATGACTAAATTTCTAGATAATAATTTCGTAACAACAGAAACCTTTTAAACTCAACAAATACACACATGAGAATCAATTAATTTACAAAGAATTTGACAACTGTTTAATTAATTGGAAATGAATTTAAGTTAAGATGTTTGAGTTGCAGATAGTCTTGCAACGTAGAGTTCATAGAGCTCACTCAAAGTATCTTGTATACATTCGAGACAATTTCTACACACCCATACACACATACACAGTGAGACTATAACAAATTGTACAATAAATTGCTAATACACACATGGCAAGACTGTATATCATTGTTGTACAATAAATTGCTAACCAGACACACACCCCACATACCCCC